AAACAAAAAGTTTCTACATATATGGTATTCTTCAAGAAATTTAGAAAGATTTTACTTACACAGCAATCCGTGATAAGTCGGGGAAGCTAATTTCATGCATAGAAATCGATATTTGTTGTTTTTTTTTAATATTTTTGATGAGTATGCAGCTGCATTTGTATTCATTGATAGAATCTCAAGGTATTAGCTGAAACACTAATAATAGAATATACATAATGCAAATTTAGTTGTTACTTTTCGTTAATTTTTTTTCTCCAAGCGAACCCCATCTCACCGCATTTTTATACAAAGACCCTCTGTTACCATCGATAAATCAAAACGAAAATCAATAATTACGAAAATGGTCACGATGAAAATGAAGTGAAATAGCTGTGATTCTAGCATAACATTTCATTTTAAGGAGATCACTATCAATATTGGAAAAATTCAAAAACAAATAGTATTTATAAATATTAATCGATTAGGAAACAGATAGTTTTGATTTCGCGTATATTTCGAAAGCAAAGTAAATCAATAGCCACTTTCCCCCCATGATCCTATGATAAAACGTGCTACACATCGGTATTTATCAGAGAAAGAAAACCTTTCTTGAATACAGTTATTAACAATTTAATATTTCTGTTTATCATTGAAGTAGAATACATACTTAATGATATTGGGAAAGTTAACATAAATGACTCTTGGCAGAAAAAAAAGGAAAGTCTAATTTTTCGAACATGAACCTTCCAAAAGAATAGAAAACAGATCGTTTTCTAGATGCACCAATTATATCATGTTTTGTTTTGACAGTCATTTATGTTTTACTGGTTTTTCGTTGTAAGTAAAATTTTAGATAGAATCTATTATCAAGTACTATTCGACGTAGGAGAAGCAGCGTATCAAACATGCTTCGATAATTCGAAGACCCATTTAATTAAAATAAGGCGTCGTGCAATCTTTGACAGATTATCTTTTATCTGGAAACCGATTCAGGATGTAAATATGGGTGACAATATAATTGCATTAAAAACGTCCACATTCTAGTGTTTCAGATCATGATATAATCGTTTACAAGAAACGATATTGCATGGGTCGAATTATAACTTTGAAGTGAATATACATTGTTTCAATTTTTTGCTGATCTATTATAATTATCTTAGTAAAACTTTCTTTCATACATATTTTAAAGTAGCTTTATACAGTAGTAATATTCTAGTCGAAAAGATTATACTGTTATTTATTCAATTAAATGTACATCAATTTGTTCAAGTACAAGTGTCCATAATGAATAACTTATCGATCATCTTCGGTATTACTTGACAAACTAGCATAAAATAGTTGCAGCAATTGATGTGAAAACATGAGTTCCTAACAATGTCGATTCACTTGATAATCTAGTAACCAAGTACTTTTAATATAAATATATATTTTGACGATTAAATTAACAAGAAATGCTCAGTCCAAAACTGTTTTTCTTGTCAATTTATTATTATAGGTAACATCTTGATTTATATAGTATATTGAATAAACTTTATTAATCTTTTTTTAGTTGCAAAATGTTTGCTTTTGGTCTCTAATCGAACGGCTATTCTCACTCCGACATCAATTAGGATTCTGTCGAAAAGCAGAAAGAAGCAAGATTATAAATAAAAACAACACAGTCCACTCTGACGTTCGTTTCCATTTGATTTTTTTTCTCTACAAGTTAGTATTCATGAGTCTTTCTCTCTTTTTTTTTGTTCTTCTTGTAATTTTCAGCTTAGATGTTCTCGACGCAGTGTTGGTTCCATTTTACAATGATGTATACTATCAACTCAACTTGTATCTGAAATATTGCTGCATTTGCATCGTCATGGAAAATAAACATAGAAAATTCGCATAACCTAAAAATTGTATTCTTTATTTGAGACCGTGAATTTTCATAATTTCATGTGATGTTCAATCATGCAATATTTATACTATTTATTAGACGATCCTATAACGCAACTCATCGAAGGCTATAGTTATCATCGCATTCACTTGATGATGAGTTCCATGCTATAGAAATTTTTAGTAGAAATAACACACTCCGATGATCGAATTACTCGACAGTGATGCGTCAGACAACACGGGTAATATTTTATCCATATGATGACAAAAATATTTGATTCTCAAATGGGTGTTTGTTTTCACCAAAGGTAAGCATCACATGAGATCAAGTATCGGTTGTCTTTTAAAAAGAATACGGCCACCAAGAAATTGTCAAGCTGAAAGAAATCGTTACGCATCTTAAAGTTACGACGCTTTTATGGTTACTCCTGTTTTTCTATTGAATGTTTTAGTTAGGGATTGTTGTTTTTTTTATGTGAATATGAGAAAGAGTGTTGATAAGGAGAATTAATGGCAGCATTCGAAATCAGAATGAGACATTGAATGTACAAAGCGTTGAATTCCTCATTTAGCATACGAGCAATTGATTATTTCGATTAGAAAATGATTACAAATTGAACTGACTGTTTTGCATTTGGTTTGGGCGAATCTTCTATGTTGAAACATCTAGATAACTTACAGATCATTTTAATTCTTTCATTGGTTGGCTACGTAATTGCCCTTCTTTTTTTTGTATTATTCGAGGTTCTTTGTAACATTCTCGTCTTTTCTCTCATGCTTAATAATCTTAAGATTCATCCACTATAAATTTTCAAGAGCGACAAGGTTTTTTCATTTCTTTATTTTAGATATTCTTGACTAAACTTTGATATACAATAAAACAAAGATAAAGTACATGCATCGCTTACGTTAATCACCCCCTCGTCTAATCCTATCATCCTTTTATCGGTAAATATGAAAAGAAATGAAAATTAAAAAAAGCACACATTTATCATAGTTTCCTACGAGCCTAAGAAAAATGTGCAGTATTACTGCGCTTATCGTTGTTAGTCTTTCGATCGTACTAAACGCTCTGCAAATAAATACATGACGAATCCCATTTGATACATTAGTAGTCTTTGGTGACTCAGATTCGGACACAGGTAATTTTTATAACTTAACAAATCACTTTTGGCCCTTATCACCCTATTTTCAAGGTCAAATTTCGAATGGTCTACTATGGATAGATCCATTGGAAGTATCCAACATAATCACTTATGCACATGGCTCTACTACGAATGATAACGACTTCATTCCAAGTATCAAGTTGTCGGAATCAATAACAATACCCGGCGTTCGTCAACAAATTGCTACCTTCTTGAGCAAGACTAATATGATTACAATCAACTTGGATCGTACACTTTTTATTATTTGGATTGGTAGTAACGATTTTACTTACAATAATACCATACGTCCTTCTTTAGTTGCTGCTAGTGTGTCCCGTGCAATGAATCATCTACTCAAGATGACTATTAAACATCTCTTGGTTTTTTATTTATCACCTTTGCAAGCAATCCCAGGTATCCATGCGCTCAATCAAGACGCCTATTTTAATGACATGGCACGTCAATACAATAGCAATTTGTCGGCAAATATTGCTTCACTAATCTTTATTGACGAATATCATTTCACAACTCGCACGCATGAATTGTTCGCTAATGACATACGTCGATTTTTATCATCCTCAGCGCAATCAAACTCTGTCTTCAGACTAATTAGTCCTATCGTATATTCAATGCTTTTGTTGGTTTATATTTCTCATTACGAGGGTTAAAACTTAAAAAAAAAACAAACGTTTTCCTACTTTGTAATAATAACAAACTAAAATTTTCAAAATACTAACTTTCATTGTTTATTCAATAAAGATCAGGAAACAGTCTTCTTTTTTGATGTAAGGGCAATACATAGAAAGAATAACGTAGTTAATAGGAGTAATTCGTTCAACACACACATAGTTTATTACACCTCAACAAAACGACCTTTTGTTGTGTCAAGTAGAAACCGTATTCTGGTAAGTCTGAATTACAGATGTTTCGTAATTCATATAATGGTGAAGATTTTCATAAGAAGAATAGATGATTTGTCTTCTGAAAAAATACTTCTAAGATAATAGAGTCTTGCTATCTATTTATAAACCATTAATTTATACAAAAGGACACAAATGCAAAATTTTACCCTGAGTCGTTAGACAATAAAATCAGTAGTTTTATCTTAACCAAGAATTTATAGTTTTCTATGATTGTTTTATTCTAATTCTACTTCTTTATCCAAATTTATATTTCTAACATTTCAAATTTCATACTTCTAGAAAAAAAGATTCTTTGTTCTCTTGTCTTTAAATATCAGACACATTTATTTAGAGTATTATTGTTTCTGATCAAACAACAATAAAGATCGAAGACAAAAAAGTTTTGTTTTTTTTTTGCAATTTTTAATAAGGATGAGTCATGTTTCTTTTATTCTCTTCACATATAAATGAACTTAGGACATACTAAAAGTAGTATCATCATTACGCTATTGCCCTATAGGATACTTTCTTTCAATAGAGGCTAATAGAAAAAGCAATGTTCTATTTTCTTGTGCTGTTTAATGATTCTTCAACTAATATCATAATAATAATAATACATCGATAAGAACTGTTTTTGAGTTAAAATTTACCAACAAACGAAGCTTTACACCTTAATATTCATTTACTTAATAGATTGTATTAAAAAACAAAATGTATCACAAGACGCAGCTTAGAAAGTTCTACAATTTACAAATTAAAGTTTATTTTAATGTATATATTGATAATACAAACATTACTTATGACGAATTCATACTAATATAGCATATTTATTAGATTATCCTAAAGAATCACGTATCAACAATGGACTATTGAATTTTTATTGATAGTAACAGGTATAATAATCTCAATGTATTAAAATATATTTTTCATGTACTATTGTTTATTTTATAGATCGATCGTCTGTTTACGATAGTTCATTTCTCTAAATTTGTTGCACTTATTTACTAAGTCAAAAAGATATAATATAATTCTTAAAAATAAGATTTGTGTTCTTTGTTTTTTATTTGAAAGTAATTACTAATTATATACAAAAATAAAACATGTCCTAAACAACTAAATATCTCCACCATAAATATAAATCACGATTAATAAATTTAATAAAATAATCATCAAGTAAATTTTCTGATTTAATTAAAAATTTTAATTCTTTTAAACATATTTTTGGTATTTCTGAAATGCATAATAAAAATAAATTTTGAGTATTTTGATTAGTTTTCAATAATAAATATTTTGTTATTTGTCCAATTTCTTTTCGATTCATACATGTTTTCAAATATTCTAATTGTGGAAATAATTTAACAATCAATTGAATTTTATTTAATACACAAGATTCACGAATAGATAAATATTTTATTTTATTTGTTTTTAATACATATTGAAAATTTTCTTTTTTTACAATTAATTGTGGTGTTATTTCCTTCATAGATAAGAAATCTATTTTTAATATATATATAAATTTGGTGTATAACATAATAATTCAATAACTTCTTCAAATGGAAAATCATAAGATTCAATAGTTAATTTCTTCAATTGTACTAGAGGTATCATACGATTAAGAGTTTTTATAATCGAATCATCAGATGTTTGAAAATAATGTTTAATAGACAATTGAGTAACATTTGGAAAATAATTTAAATAAATATTTTGTATTTGTCTACTTTTAATCGAAAGATGTTCAACTGAATTTAAATTCATTTCTTGAAAATGTGAACAATTTTGTTTCTCGATTTCCCAATGAAATTCATAATCTTTTCGTCTAAAATGACAATAGAAAAACAATCCTATCATAAATATTTGCCTCTCATATTGAGTCTTTCAAATATTTGAATCAGGAACGTAAGTCAGATGCCAGAGCAGATAAGCATAATCCTAGTTTTTCAGTTTCGATGACCAAAAAAAGAACTTTGCAGAAGCAGGAGGGGCAGCGTTACGCTCCTGATTTGAATATCGAGGAATTTCCGTTCCTTATGGCGATCAGCTTTTTCCCCCTTTAAGCTAATACTTGGACGTTTTTATTTTGCTGAAGTTAGACATGTCTTTGGATATTATCAATTGTCACTCAATAGGATCAAGGGGAAAGGAGCGAGACTTCACGAGTGCATAGTTCGCTTGTACTTCAAAAACTTAGGAAGTACATAAAGTCTCGCTATTCCGCCCCCTCCCCCTCCCCCCTGAATAAGACGCATTATTAAGTTTTCAATCAAATGATCTAAGCGTGGTTTTTAATCAAAAATTTCATTGTAGATGTTTTTTTTAGTATATCCAAGAAATGCAGATTTTATTTTATAGATAATGTTTGAAAGATTTAACATGAGCAAAGTGATGATTTATTACGAAGTGCTAGCTAAATTATTTTTTATTTACCGATATGGATTTGTCGAATAAAACATTCCACTATCTAAACGTTTTGCCCAATCATGTTGATGTGTAAAAAACCAATTTTTTTTAATCCAAAACTATGAATTAAATTGATCTATTGTATCATGATATGTCATATTATTATTGACTTTATAATTTTCATGATTTATATCAAATATACGTAAATATGGCATATAGGATATAATGAAATATTCCCAACGTTTAGCATCTAAAAAAGCTTCGTCATATTTTGTTGTAAGACGTAAAATTTGAACATAATAAAAAAAAATCTTTAAGAATTTGTTCAACTTGATCAAAACTAATGTAATCAAATTTAAGTGAAACATATTTTATATATTTTAATTGAATTGGTAATATATTTTCTCTTTGAAAATAAACTTGACGATGAATAAGATTATTCATTGATAAATGACGAAGTTTAGTTAGTGCACATAATAAATTATTTAATGATTTAAATGGAAAACGACCATTTATAATTAAATATTGAATTGAACTTAAATTATATTCTGTCATATGAATAGATAATGGATATTCTGAATTTTTAGTTTCATATTTAATTTTACAATAATTTAATTTCGATAAATGAAATAAATCAAAGAAAATCATATCTAATGATTCAATATAATCACCAATGGAAATAGTTAAAGAATGAAATTTTGGTAAATACATTAAATAATTAAAAATATTATTTAAAAATTTCATTTGTATTTTATCAAGAATTAATTTTTCAAGATGATTAAAATGTAAAATTATACGTAATGGTGAAAATATAAGATCAGCAACAAATGGATTTGATAAACGAAGTAAAGTTATTCGATATCGATACGGTATAAGAATATTATTATAATAATTTTTGAAATCATTTTTTGATATTATTGAAATATTGATTTGATTTAAAAAATTTGAATAAATTATTAAATTTTTAAATCGTTTATTAAGATTAAAAAAACCTTTATATATATCATGCATATCAAGATATTCAAATATTTCATAAAAAATTTCATTAGCTAAATCTTCGAGAACAAATCTAAATAAAAATTAAATCAAATAATAAAAATATTAGATTATATCAAATAATTATTTTCACTTGTATCGATCGATTTTGATTACTTAGAAAACAAGAACAACAAAAGAAGAAAAAAAAACATTATTCGGTTTATTAAATCTCAATAGAAAATATTACTTTTATCTTGTAATTTTTGTTTTTTATGATTATTTGAATTTTTAACATTGTTGTTGTTTTGCCGTTTTCTTCGTTGCATGTCTTCCATAGATAAATAACGATAGTACTGATCGAAAAACGAATAAATACATATCTATTACGTGTTATAACAAATATATCGCGTCGTTTTCTTCTCTATAGACACTGAACAGAGATATTCGTTTGTTTAATATAAATAAACTTGAGAAATAAACGAAAATCATAATTAAATCGAAGAAGATGCAGTAATAGTTAATTTATATATTTTTATTCAATTATAAAACAAAATATAGAATTTTCGACCAGTGTCTGTTGGAACCAGCTTGTAAAATTCGGTCATCATCAGTATATTCGACAATAGAATATATAAATTAATTATTACTGCATCTTCTTCGATTTAATATGATATTCGTTTATTTCTCAAGTTTATTTATATTAAATTAAGACATACATATGCAGCTCTTATAACTTTAACTTACTAATTATTTGGATTTGTTTATGGTTATTACTATGTTGTATTTCGTTTTGATGTATAGATATTGTCGAATATACTGATGATGACCGAATTTTACAAGCTGGTTCTAACAGACACTGGTCGAAAATTCTATATTTTGTTTTATAATTGAATAAAAATATATAAATTAACTATTACTGCATCTTCTTCGATTTAATTATGATATTCGTTTGTATTGAGAAGAAAATGAAACTTTTCCATGTTATTCTAATAAAACCGTTAATATGAAAGTAGTATTAAACTTATTTTAGCAACGATGATTCTATAATTCTATTTTCTTTTTGTCGTACGTAATATGAATGTGAAACTTCGGAAGTGTCAGATTGTTTTCAATTTTTAAAGATATTATACATAGCAAATGTAAAACAAGAAACAGAGTAAACGTATATCTTTCAAAGTGATGATCATGTTGCTTCTATCTTCAATTATTTCAAGCATTAATTGTTATTCAACTAAATCATTGAAAAAAGAAACATGTTTTTTAATCAAGAGAATCATCAAAATTTATTTAAACACTGAAATACCTATAATTAATATATGGATATCCTGAATGAAAGTATTCTAAGAGATATCTCAGGAATTCTTTGGAACTTTGGCAGTTTAGTGTATCCACTTGATAATGGATTCTTTTTTACAAAATTTCTGATTGATAGTTCTTTCAATATATGAGACTTCGTATAAACATTAAAATTACCAGATGTTAATTGTTATAACGAAATCGATGGAATATCGTATATACTGTTTAGTTTTCTGTTCACTTGAACAACAGACCATAGTTAGCGCAACGAATTTGTTCGCTGTTTGTTTTGTTTTTATTCTAGATTAATCGGTAAGGGAAGTATACTCTAATGGAACTTTACAACGATAATTAAATTCATTATCTTGTTTTTGTTAGAAAGAACTACGACAGAGATTCTAAGAAAACTTTAATCGGGTGTGATAAGTAAACTATATACAAAGATGGATGATGTCAACAGTCATCAAAGGCTAGTGTGAAGAAAATACATCGAACATTCGAGTGTTGTTGCCTGAATGATCAAAACATTTGATCATGAATAGATTAAATATAATTATATGAACGAACCAAGAAAATAGATACTGCAACATAATCTTTAAATAAAGAAAGGTGCAGATTGAAATAGAAATTTTACTATAGAAATAAGATAGAATCCAACGTTTCATTTCAATAGAAAGCACACATTCACACGCAATATATTATTAGAAAGCAGAATTCATTCGAATCTTTTAGAAAAGGAAATGATATATGTTATCCAAGATTTTCGTTTCGATGGCGATAATTCATGAATGCCTTGAAGCATATGCTTGAGAAAAAACTTTTAATATGTTTCGATAATTTTCTAATCCTTAATGATAAATTTGAAAATTTTCAAACTAAAAATTACTGTCTCAATGGCTCATACTTTCTTGTAGATGGTCAATGGGCGATCATATTCTCCTTGATTCTTATGACCACCTCTAATATTTATTAATATTTGTACCATGTGTGGATTGTTTTTAGGAAAAATGAAGATAACTCTTCGTTAATTCAATTTTTATGACTTTGTTATAACGCTGAAAATAGCGTTTAACAGTTTCAAAGTCATCCAATAAATACACTATTGTTTCTGGATCGAAATCATTTCTCTCTTCATCATATTTTTTATCGTCTTTTTAAATAGGGATCATGCCATGAATAGTACATGTTCCTTTGTAGTGAATGCACTTAAATGAGTGATCTCAGTAATTGACAAGGTCACTCTTTGTTCTTTACTGTTCCAAGGGGGAAAAAATGTCGGAACAATCTTGAGAAGAATAGTAAACAATTTTATTATCTGTTCACTAATGAAGTATTTGTTGAGAGACACTCTCATCTTTTAAGTAGCTAGAGTGTTTCATTATAGACATTTCTGTAGGCATAAAATATCTTCATGTTCTATATCTGATGCGAATAGCAGATCTAACAGGTAATACTATCTGAATGAAATTGAAAAAGCTCTATATTTTGTTTCTTTCAATCAGAAAACGTTCTCTTTTATTATTTGAAATATTTTCTAAATTCACTCGGCTCCTGTCTGACGCAATCGCATTTTAGAAGTCAATAATTTAACCAAAGACGTCTCAATAATATTTCTTTCTTTTACTAACCAGTAGACAATCTATCATTCAAGATAATAATAATTATATAAACATTAGACTTTACTTTCATCGTAACTTAAGTGAGATATACAATATTCAATAAAGTTAAAACAGACACTAGTCAAAACATCTTCTGTGAAAATAATAACTCATATTTTGACTAGAAAAATTTGAAAAAAATCGATGATAATTTGTTTGTTGATAAATTCTCATGAATAACTACCAATGACGCATATATATATATTGATTACAATTTCAGTTATCAAGTTTGACGATTTAATACAAATTATCTGTAAGAAATACGTTTGAATTTAGAACTCCCTTATTCGTAATACAATTCCTAATCTAATATTGATAATCTTTGTAACATATCTATCATGTGCTCACTTTTGCGTATTTAAATTATAGAGAGAAGTGGTTATCGTATTCTGATCACTTAATGGTTTATATGTAAGGATGAGTACATATATGCTATTCATTTTCTTTGAAATCAAATAAAAGTTTTTATTAACACTATCCGAGGAATGAAATTTAATCATTTATTAAAATTAATCGATTCATTTTTAAGTTGAAAAATAGATATGAAGTGCAAATATTACACTCACATCTATTCATTAATGGCTCTACTAATCTATTTTTTTCTTGTAAGAAGATTTGAAACAATATAGCAGTTAAGCTTTGGATGAACATAGACTTTTGGCGAAACTTGTATATATTATTATGTTCTAAGTGCCTTTTATACTTTCAACTCTGCCTCGTTTTATATTAGTGAATATTTGTAGAATCAGTATATTAAGTAATTACAATTTCTTTCTATACTTATTTTATGTGTATCATAAGTGTAGATACTAATAGAAACGAACGTTTTGTCTTTATAATAATATAAATTATTGCATCTACTTTTGTATGAATTTTATTTTTATTCTCAAATTCTTAACATTCTGATCTTTGTTAAAAATACAATTAACTGGAAATCTTTATTGAACAACAGTCCTATACGAAATATAATCAATAGTAGACTTAATATTATAATTGAAGACCTATTTTGACGCTCATATTATATTTACCAATTAAATACAACAAATAGAGTACTATAAATATACTCAAGATTTTTACACTCAATGAACTTCTATTATCAATGCATTACAAAACACAATGTGCACACCGTACGTTTGCAAGATCGTTTTTCTTTCTTTCTTTCTTTCTTTAGCATGCATTAAACACAACATTAGTTTATTGCTTCGTAAATATATTTTAATTTTCTCGAGTTTAGAAATAATTAATACGAATGAAAAACTAAATTCGTCAATAATATGAAACTAGTAGAATTTTTTTTCATTGATCAATGCACACAAAAGTTCATAGAATTAACTATTCTTTATTTGGTTTTGCACGTCAATGAACTTTGCGTCCGAAATATGCATTATTAAGACCCTATATATATATAATCATATTCTATCTTACGGTATATTTACTTTAGTATATATTACGTTTATATGAAATATATATATACTAAAAATAATAGCAAATATAAATAAATTGATGTAAAACATACCGATAATATGAGTAAAGTTTAATGAAATATTCTTTTTTTTTTTTTTTTTGATAATTGAAAATATTCTATTGTAATACTTAGTCTAATTTGGTTATTTTTGATAAATTTTTCAATATGAATGATGAAATCGAAGAACTTGGTGAAGATCAAAAAGCAATTCTAGTTCGATNTTCATTATGCCCAATCGGTTAATTTTTACAGTTTTTTGTATATCTTCACTTTTCATCCTTTTTCAAATATATCTAGAATAATTTTGCAGTTCAATCACTTCCATTTTAGTAGAGAATTTCAAGCGCTATCTTTTGATAAAAAAAGTGTTTGAATCATATGAAGAATAAAGAGAAAATATTCAAAATACAAACAGTATAATTTATTCTGGCCCACCCGTTATTTATGAAATTGCTACCATGAAGATCTTTTGATCTCTATTAAATAACACATTACACAGCGTATGCTGTAAAAGAAAAAAGTAAATTAATCAGTGAATGTTTATAATTTACGAACTATCATTATCTCTCAATGAATATGTTCGTTATCTTATTTCACATTGTATTTATAAATGTGGGTTCTTTTTCATTTTTTTAATATTATATTCCTGATGATGACGGATACCACCTGTCAAAAGCTTGAATAAATAAATGTGTTTTTTCATAAAGATCAAAGCCTGTTCTTCGCAGTAGTTTTATACTCAATATTGCTTCGTCTACAATCTACTTCTCTTCAACCTCAATATGTATCTAACACAAGTACCAAGTATGACGATGTAATCTTGTTAAGGACCAGAAAAATGGAAAAACTATCTATTAAAGTACAAAACTAGAAATATGATGTAGAATGTATTCGAATACATAAATTA